TTTGCAGGGAACTGCCCACAGGTTTTGCTTTTCCGTTTCTCTAATATCCAGCACCCCGTGCACCTTGTGTCTGCATTCCAGGTGCACATTTCTAGAGCTGGTTGTTAGCAGTCCTGGGCTTTCACTCCCTTCCCATTCTGACTCCTTTCTTCCTGCCGGGTTTTGAGGTTGGGGAGTGTTCGGGTCCCGCCTGGCCATGGCTTGTATCTTACCCCCTTCGTGTGATGTTGAGTCCTCACAGATGTAGATGTATCCTGGCTGTTGTACTGCATCCACTGGTGTCTCTTTTAGGAATAGTTGTATTTATTGTATTTTCATAAATATATGTTTTGGGGAGGAGATTTCCTCTGAACTACTCATGCTGCCATCTTCCCATGATCTATCATTTTCTTTAATATCACATTAAAACATGTATTTAATTCTTGAGTCTAATTTTAAAGTCCATTGTTTTTCTTAGAAGAATACAACCCTTGTTTTATAATTTAAATCATATATTTTCTAGCCATATTTTCAGGGACCCATCTGTTTTAAGTTCCATTTCCTCCTTGAACATTAGTGTGAAGATACATGAAGATAGTGTGACTATTTTAAAATGAGAATTTTAGGTAGCTTCTGAAGCTTCAAAAGTTGAGAAAAGTTTCAAATAATATGAATTAAGGTCATTTAAAAAAATCACAGAAAAAGTGCAAAAAAAAACCCAGGATATAATACATTCATTATTATTTTAATTAGGAAGATTGAAAGTGAATATGGGAAATATTTATTTAAAGCAAAGAAATTATTCCAAAGCCATTAAATTCTACCGAATGGCATTAGATCAAATTCCAAGCGTCCATAAAGAAATGAGGTAAGTTTATATAATGATAACTTTGTAAAATATAAGTGTTGTTTTCAGAAACAAAATAACTCTTCTTACCTGTTGTTGTGGGGCTGAACATCTTGAGTTATTTGTACATGAGAGGTGTTAGATTTATGTTGTATCTGTAGTATTTTGGTCTGTTCCCCTCTGACTACTTGCACACAGTTGTATAATGACTAAAGGTTAAAGGCATACTGCATGGTTATTTGAAATAAAACTAAGCTAATTGGCCTATATAGGGATAACCCTGCAGGCCATTTGATAATCCTTTAGAGCAAATACATCTTACTGCTGAAACAAAATCAAAACAACAGTCCTTTAGAACATACCAGGCTCTAGAATGTAAGGCTGGAAATTAAGGCCCCCTTACATTCTTGCTGTAAATTGAGAGTGAAATATTAAAAGGAAGGAATTGCTTTGAAGTCTTAGACGAGGGGAAGGAGAAAGCTGGGATATTCAGTATTCTAAGAGCAGAAACAGAAAATTATCTTATGATGTGGTAATAACCCTGGTAACGAATATACAAGGTTTCCAGGATATTTACTGATCATAATTTCCCCTAGACACAGTTATTTGTAAATGTAACTTTTAGTGAAACTTTGTTTTTGAACTATGAATGATGCTTCATCATTATCAGTAAATATCTAGCTAATAGAATACAATGCTCTTCAGGTATTTTTAACCCAAGTAAGGCCAAGAATTTGAGTATTTTAGAAAAAGATAATAATATATATAGTGAATGTTAAGTGCTTAATAATCAAGAGGTGCTATAGTAACTAAATTGAGAGAATGATTATTGAGAATAAGAATGGCCAAGAAAAGTTTTATGAAGGAGGTATACTTGAGTAGGTTACTTAAGTAAAGAGGGGAGAAGGGGTAACTCAGAGAAAGACTCAAGGAAATAAGAATCTTCATGATCTGATCAAAGAATTATGAATCAACTAGTTTAAACTGAGGAATTATGTTGAGGAGTAGCTAGAAATAAGATGGGATTGCAGTCATTAGAATGACTGAGATCAAAAGACACAATAATTATTGAAGAGGATATAGATAAATTAGAAACGTTATACATTGGGAATATAAAATGGTACAGCCACTTCAGAAAATACACAGTTTCTTAAAAAGTTAAATATAAATTTACCATATGACCAGCAATTCTACTCCCAGGTATAAACCCAGGAGAAATAAAACATGTTTTGTCACAAAGGAGTGTATATGAATGTTCTTAGTAGCATTATTCATAATAGCCAAAAAGTGGAAACAATCAAATAGCCACCAAGTAGGCAATGGATAAATAAAAGGTGGTATATCTGTATATGGAATGCTGTTTGGCAATATAAAAGGAATGGAGTACTGATACATGCTATAATATGGAGGAACCTTCAAAAGATTATGCTAATTGGAAGACCAGACACAAAATATATATTGTATAACTCCATTTATATGCAATATCTAGAAAAGGCAAATCTAGAGAGACAGTAGATTAGAGGTTGCTTAGGGCTGGAGGTGAGAATGGGGAATGACTACAAATGCACAAAGTTTTCTTTTTAGGGTAGTAGAAATGACTTAAAATATGAATGTGATTATAGACCTAAACCTATGTAAATATAGCAATAATTGATTCACATATTTAAAACAAATGAATTTGATGATATGTAAATTAAACCTCAATAAAGCTTTAACAAAGCAAAAAGAAAAGTAAAATGAAAAAGAAAAGAAAGAAAATTTGTGGAATGTCTTAACTATCATACTAAAGAGTTCAGACTTTTAAACCTAACCCATGTTTATTTTTCTTTAGGATTAAAATTATGCAGAACATTGGCATTACATTTATTAAAACTGGTCAGTATTCAGATGCCATTAATTCATTTGAGCACGTAATGAGTATGGCACCAAATCTGAAGGCAGGCTTCAACCTAATTCTCAGTTACTTTGCTGTTGGAGATCAAGAAAAAATGAAGAAAGCCTTCCAAAAATTGATTGCTGTTCCATTAGAAATTGATGAAGATGATAAATATATTTCACCAAGCGTGAGTATGAAGGACTGCTATATTGCCAGCTCTTAGTTGTCTTTGCTTTTCTGTTTCCAGAAATGCAGAAGTTGGAATGGATGACTTCTTAGATTTCTTTCAGCCCTAAATTAATGTTTTAATTAAATTTAATTAGTGTGTTTTATCATTTTCATTTATTTAAATTAGGTTGAGAATGAGACTCTATGAAATAGAGCTGGAGATTATAGTTAAAACAAACTGACTATACAATTTTAGTCAAAAAGAGAGACAATCTTATAAAAAATAAGATTATATGTCATTCTTTAGTAAGAATAATATCTTCGCCAAGGAACCCTAAAGCCTTTTTTTGACTGTTTCTTAAGTCATTGTTGAGCAAAGGGAACTAAAACCATATGTAATAAATATATCAAGAATGAAAAGAAGTAATTCTTTAATTATCCTTATTCATAGAGTGGAGCATAACACAGATATCATGTTTTCAAAGACCTGAGTAAATATTATATAATGTTAAGGAAAAAATGTGTGGAAAAAATATAGATAAGCACCCATACATGAACATAAACTGAAAGGAAATATACCAAAATAGAATAGTTGCCAGGCATGAGATTATTTTTGTTAATAGTTTTGAGATATTTTCCAGATTTTTCCACATAAATTATTGGTTTACTGCTATATTATTTTATATTAACTCAAACTATATGAAATTTTCCTAATTATAATAGCCTACTTTGGAGGATTATGAGGATTAAATGAGGCAATGCATGTGAAATACTTTAAGACATTATCTGGAACATATTAAGTGCTGAGTAAATGTTAAATATTATATAACTACCTTCACATTGAAAAAATATATGTTGTGAAAAAATCATCTGTGTTTTCAATAAGGAGCAGAGATGTGGATTACTAAGTAGTTGATGATCATTAAACAATTTATATTTGAGTGTAGAATTTATAATATACACCTGCTATGTACTTGGTCCTGTTCTTTCCTGCCTGACCTTTTATCAACTGCTAAGAATCTGTGCTAGCTCAATGGAGAATGTGTTAGGTAATGAGAAATAAGAATAAAAGCTCTACTTTATGTATAAGGAAAATAGTTTAGAAAGATAAATTACTCTTCATTTATACAACTAGTTAACAGTGACGTTGATTAGAAATCCAAATGCTTGGTGTTTGCTTCTGAATTACTCTTTTTTTTTCTAACTTTATTTTCTCAGGATGATCCACACACTAACTTAGTGATTGAAGCTATAAAAAATGATCATCTAAGGCAATTGGAACATGAAAGGTAATATTTATTTTAATAATTAAAACTTAAAATGTTCTCATTTTTATAAAAGAGCTAAATGTTTATTCTGATTATTTCTTTCAAAACTTGTTATTTCAATATACTTCTTGAAGAGTGCTGTTTCACCATTTCTATTCTTCACTGAATTCTCTTTTCTCTTTCAAAAGAATCTCAGTCCTCTTGCTGATCCCAGTTATTCTTACTCAGTTACTCTTGCTATTTCTTCATAATTATCTTTCCCTATGCATTTGGTGTAGTATTTGAACTTTGTTTATATTACTTCTGTTTTTTAAAGCTATATCTGTATGTATTTTTGTCCAACTTCCCAATTAAATTTCTACTTCCAAAAATAAAGTTCTTCTATTTATTTCATTCAACTCCCTTCTTCCAGTAAGGTACAAAGTCTCTGCCAAGTGTGGTCTTAAAGTGCCAATATTTATTGTATATTCAACAGGTATATTAGGTATATATCATATAATATAGGGCCCTTAATTTTTTTAACTGTGGTAAAAGCTTACCATCTTAACCATGGTGTATAATTCTCCATGGTTCAGTAATGTTAAATGCATCCAGTCTCCATAACTCTTGATCTCCCCATACTACACTCTGTACCCATTGAAGAACATTTCTCCAGCCTCTCCTCTCCCCAGTCTCTGGCATCTACTATTCTACTTTCTGTCTCTATTATCTCATGTAAGTAGAATCATGGTATTTGTGACTGGCTTATTTCATTTAGCATAATGTCCTCAAGGACAGGATTTCCTCCATTTTAAGACAGTAATATTCCACTGTATGGATGGAGAGCCTTAATCTTTAGGAATTGGTTTAATATTAAAATAAAACATTCTGGGAAGATGGCAGAGTAGAGAAAGCCTGAATCCACCTTCTACCACCTACACACCAATTCTACCCTACATAGAGAGAATCTCACCCTGAAGAAGATCGAAGACTGAAGTGAACACTTTCTATACAACAAGGAACAGAAAAATCAAATTAAAAAAAGCCCAAAATGGCAAGAGAAGAAGAGACATGGTAACTGTGGGAACCCCAACCCAGCACAGCCACTGGCAGAGGGGAGAGAGAGGGATATGGCTGGGACAGTCAGGCATGGACTCCCTGCCCTGAGGTGCAGGAACAAAGCCTGTGGCTTAGGTTTGAAATGCAACTAGACCGTAAGTGAAAAACCTAATTTTCAGAACTAAACAACCATCACTTGGCAAGGAAACCATTAGAGGCAATACAGGATTGGAGGAACCAACCAGAGCCATTTTTTGACTCCTGCACATCTTAGTGGAGCTGAGAGCAGGATTTGGGAGTGATCCAGCAGTCTATCTTATTGCCTGCTTTTATCTACTGGCCCAGAAGTTCCCCAGCTCACAGGGAGAATGCACAAATCTGTGGGCTGGTGCCACCAGGGCAGCTTCCCAGAGCAAGTGGGGAATGTGCGTGTCGAGCCTTACCCCAAGTCACCATTGGAAGGATGCTGACACAAGAATTCCCCAGAGCAGCCTGAAGCACACACACATAGTGCCTCATCCCAGACACCAACAGGACCACAGAGTTCTGACACAGGAATTCCCAGGAGTAGCCCAGAGTGTGCAGGGGTCACAGGGAAGCATGTATACACATGGTGCCTTATTCCAGCCACCAGCAGAGTCCATGAGCACCTGTGTGGGAATTCTTGGGAGGAGTCCAGAAGGCTCAGGAACTGAAGGGGAACATGCACAGAGCCTGACTCCATGCTGTCAACAAGACCTGGTGGGCACCCAACCCAGGAATTCCCTGGAGTGATTCCAGTCAGCCCAGAGTGCACATTGCATTCAGGTGAGGAGGCACAGGGGATTGAGCAGGTGCCACTGGGAGTTACCTGGAGTGTGTCCCTGATCTGCTGCTGGCCCAACACCCTTACCCTGCCAGCACAGAACTCAACAGGTATCCACCCAAGACAGGCCCCTGGGACCATACCCTGGGAGTTCAGCACCAGGAAAACCCTGTCTCACAGTTACCTTGGCCTCCAGCTTGACAAAACCATGAGGCACATGCAGTCTACACAGGGGATTCTCTTACACAAGGCCTGTCCTTCAAGACTGGGAGAGTGAGCTTTTCCAATTAATTTGTAGAACTAAGCACAAAAAGACATACACAATGGAGACAGAAGAATACACTTAAAATGACAGAACAAGAAAAAATCCAGAGAAAAAGCTAAATGAAACAGTTAACCAATCTACCTGATAGAGTTTAAAGCAATCGTTGTAAAGATCCTCACTAGACTTGAGAAAACAATACAGAGCTCAAAGTGAACCTCAACAAAGAGACATCTAAAAAAGAACCAGTCATTGGATTAAAGATGGCAGCGTGAGAGGAGAGACAGAGGCCTCCTCCTAAAACTGGATACAATTAGAAAATATAGTTGGTGCAACTAATCCTGAGAGAGCAACAGGAAAGAGGACGGCGCCAGACTGCATACACCTGGAGAGAAGAGCATTCCTCACGGAACAGGGTAATGTACCAGAGCTGTGGCTCTGTGGGACCCGAGCCCCTCCCCCACCCCAGCTCACCTGCGGAAGGAAGAGAAATGGAGCAGGGAGGGAGTGGAAGGCTTGGGACTGCATAATACCTAGCTCCGGAGATCTGCTCTGGGAGCACAAACCTACATTTCATGGTGCTTTCATCATACTCTTTATGATTATGGGGTTGGAAAGCTGAGACAGGCGGAGTTCCTGGGGAAACTGGGATTCTGGCTGCTTGTGGAAAGCAGGGATCCATATCTGGCTGCTCTGAGACAAAAGCTTATACCTGTGTGCCCGGCCCACTGGTTCAGGCAGTGGAGACAGGCACAGCAGCCGGGAGGTGGGGAACAGCTCTCTCCTCCCCCCAGGCACCAATACCGCTCCCCCGCGACCCCTGACATTGCTTCAGGGGCTGAGCAACTCCAGAATAGAGCTTCTGGACACTAGAGGGCACCATATACAAATATGAAATGCCAAAGAAACCTGGTCCAGAGTAAAATTATTAATACAACTCCTGAGAAAGATTTAAATGATATGGACCTTGTAACTCTTCCTAAAAGGGAGTTCAAAATAAAAATCATCAACATGCTAATGGAGGTATGGAAAGACATCCAAGAACTCAGGAATGAATTCAGGTCGGAGATCCAATCATAGAAGAGCAGAATGGAGGGTATTAAAAGCAGGTTGGATACGGTGGAGGAGACAATAAATGAAATAGAAACTAGAGAAGAGGAATACAAAGAAGCTGAGACACAGAGAAAAAAGGATCTCTAAGAATAAAAGAATATTGCGAGAACTGTGTGACCAATCCAAACAGAATAATATTCACATTATAGGGATACCAGAAGAAGAAGAGAGAGAAAGAAAGGGAAAGAAAGTGTCTTTAAGGAGGTAGTTGCTGAAAACTTCCCCAATCTGGGGAAGGAGATACTCTCTCAGGCCATGGAGATCCACAGGTCTCCCAACACAAGGGACCCAAAGAAGACAAACACCAAGACACATAGCAATTAAAATGAAAAAGATCAAGGATAAGGACAGACTGTTAAAAGCAGCCAGAGACAGAAATAAGATCACATACAAAGGAAACAAGAATCCCTCACACCAAGAACGAGGAAGACCTCAAACTGATTGAAAAGAGACAGTCAATTGATGCCAACATTAGATGGCAGAGATGTTAGAATTATTTGACAAATTTTAAAGCAACAGTTATAAAAATGCTTCAACAAACAATTATGATCATGCTGAAAAGAAATAAAAAAAACAGGAACCCTCAGAAGAGAGTCTCAACAAAGAAAAAGAAGATGTAAAGAAGAACCAAGTGGAAATTTAAAACAAAAATACAATAACAAATAAGTTCACTGGATGGGCTCAACAGGAGAATAAAGAAGAGAGAGAAAAGATTCAGTGAATTGGAGGATAGAAAGTGGAAATTATCCAATTTGACCAACAGAGAGAAAATAGATTAAAAAATAAAATGAAAGAGCCTCAGGGACCTTTGGGATTAGAACAAAAGATTTAATTAAATGATAACATTTGTGTCATCAGTGTCTGGGAAGGACAGGAGAGACTGGGCTAAAGAAATTCATGCCAAGATAAATGATGATTAAACTTCTGAGAATTAAAGACAGTCTTCAGAGGAGGCAGAGAAAAACAACACAAAAGGGAGGAGCAATTAAAAGGACAGTGGAAAGAGTCTTAACTCTAAGCTTCAGCTCAAGAAGCTAGAAAAAGAAGAGCAAAATCAACCCAAAGGAATCAGATGGAAAGAAAGAATTAATAACAGAAATCATTAACATTGAAAAGAGATACAATAGAAAACATCAATGAAACACAGAGCCAATTCCTTGAAAAGATTAATAAAATTAACAAACTTCTAACAAAACTGACAAAAAGGAAAGATACAAATTACCAATATCAGGAACAAAATTAGGGGCTATCACTACAGACCCTGCAGACCTCAAAAGCATAATAAGGGAGTCCTACAAACAGTCTTACACACATAAACTTGACAACTTAAACAAAATATACCACTTGCCTGAAAAACACAAACTACCACCACAGCTCACCTAATATGAAATAGATCATTTGACTAATCCTATAAATATTAAGGAAATTGAATTTATAACTTAAAAACTGTCAAAAAAGAAATCTCCAGCCCATTTGGCTTTAATAGAGTATTCTAGGATATGTTTAAAGAAGAATTAACATCAGTTCTACATAATCTCTCCCAGAAAATAGTTCATTTTATGAAGTTAGTAATAATGCCTTAATACCAGTATAAGACAATGATAGTACCACAAAAAAAAAAAAAGGAAGAAAACTACAGACCTGTATCTTAGGAAAATATATGCAAAATCCTTAAGAAAATATTAACAAAATATAAAAGGAATTAGACACTGTGACCAAGTGGTGTTTATTGTGGGAATGCAAGATTGGTTTGCTATTCTAAAAATAAATTAATATAATACAAGATATTAGTAGAATGAAGGGCAAAACCACATGATCATCTCCATATAAACAAACAAAAAAAACTGAGGAGTGGGGGTAGACGAAATCAAATATGCTTTCATGACTAACAAACAAAGTAACTTCAACAAGTGACAGTACAAAGGAAGTTCCTCAGTCTGATCAAGGACATCTATGAAATGCCCACAGTTTGAATGCTTTCATCGGGAACAAGAAGACAAGGATATCCACTCTCACCAATGCTGTCCAAAATTGTGCTGCCAAGTTTTGTTTCTGTACTCTTTCTTTCTTTCTTCAGTTGGTCAGCATGCATTACAGGACAGAATAAAAAGAAAGAACCATTGACCCCAGGTTTCCAACCTGACTTATAAACAGATTTCTAGTGTAGCTGTCCACCATTTCGTAAGTTTTCATGGTATGGTAGCTTTGATAGATTATGTTTACACTTACATTTTAAGAAAAAAATCCAAACTTGTTTTATACCATGTTTCTCAATAAAACTTTGTTTGATACAGGAAAGCCATGGCAGAGAAATACATCATGACAGCTGCAAAACTCATTGCTCCTGTAATTGAAACATCTTTTGCTGTGGGTTATGATTGGTAAGAGAGAAATTCAGTGTAACTGGGTAGATATGGTATTTTCTTTTCATAATTATGTTGCGATTTATTTAAATTTTTATTAGAAAAGTGAATAAAAAATTATGAATATTGATTTTTACTTATCAAGCAAGTAGTACTATATGATGAAGTATATAAGATTAATATAGGCTCTACTAAAAGTTCTAATGTATTTTTCTTGTTGCTTGTGTCATTTCAAAAAATTAAGTATAAGGAATGTGCTACCATTTGATTTGAGGATTCATTTTATGAATTGTAACCTGTGCCCCTCTTTCATTTTACTTTTTTTCCTTATTTTCCCCTTTTTTTACCTTAAGTTTGTCAGTAGTACTAAACTTCCTATCCTAATAGCTCTTGCATCTAAAAAGGCTGTTGTCTCCTGATATAATGTATTTATTAGATAGAAGTGAAGAGTTTTATTAGAGTTGGAAAAATCTTCGATCATTTGTTGAATGAGAGTTGAATTTGTTTCTTACTTCTACCTGGTACAGTTTTCCTTTATAGGTGGCCATTTAATCTTTGCTTGGATTCTAGTATTCATTTGTTTTATTTCTGAACATCTCTAAAATTTAGGAAATTCTTTTTATTGAATCCACATTTGCCTCTCATGAAAGTCTTTTCTGTGATATGAGCAAACAGACTTAGTCTGTGACCTCTACTATATGGTACCTTCCTAGTACTTTTAAAGTTCAAGGTACATGGTTAGAAAATCAAATATGTATAGAAGAGTTAGTCCTAGTTTTCTTTATTTTTATTTTTATTGAGATATAATTGACATATAATGTTATATTCAGGTTAAAACATAATGATTTGATATATGTATATATTGCAAAATGTTCACCACAATAAGTCTAGTTAACACCCATCACCATAGGTAGTTGCAAATTTCTTTTCCTTATGATGAAAGCTTTTAAGATTTACTCTCTGAGAAACTTTCAAATATACAAAATAGTATTATTGACAGTCACCATGTTGTACCTTACGTACCATGACTTATTTATTTTATACCTGAAAATTTATATCTTTTGACCCCCTCCACCCATTTTGACCACTCCCACACCCCCACCTCTTGCAGCCACCTGTCTATCTGTAACTATGAGCTGTCATTTTGTTTTTCTAGTTTTCTAATCACTTTTCATATTTCTTCTTGGTAGAAGTAATTTATGCTTTCTTTACCATATCCTTATCGTCTTTTAGATTCTTAACTATTCTGTTTATTCCTTGGAATCCATCCTTATTCCTTGAAATCCATTGTCTCCCTGGTTTAATTTGAACTGGTGGCTTCATATGTTCATGGCATCTTGTTTGTACTGTTATTTCGAGTTACCTAGCTTTACTTTTTTGCATTCTTTGCTTCTATTACAGTCTTAGCTTTACTTTTTTGCATTCTTTGCTTCTATTACAGTCTTAGGTCGTTCGTGGAGGTCTCCCTCCCAGAGTGTCTCTTTGCTCCAGTATCCTGTAAGCTGTTCCTACCTTGGCCTGGTGTTACCTGTCATCTTGGGATCACCTTTATTGCTTTCCCAGCTTGGATCCTCTTCCTAGTTTAACACTTTCTTGATTTCTTTACCTTCATTTTGTTATGAATTAACCTCCTAAAATCTGTCTGTGCGTGTCTATAAATGTCAAATTGAGTCTTCATTCTTCATTGATCATTTTCTTCATCAGGTATGATATTGTAAGTTGTAATGTATTTTCTTTCAGATTTTTTTTTTACTTATAAACAACAGAAGTTTATTTCTCACAGTTCTGGAGGCTGGGAAATCCAAGAATCAGATGCTGACAGATTGGTGTCTGGTATCTAGTTCATCGATGGCTGTCTTCTTGCTGTGTCCTCACATGGCAAAAGGACTAGAGAGCTCTATTTTATAATCACATTTATAAGGGCTCCACCCTCATGACCTTGTCACCTCCCAAAGGCTCCACCTTCTAAATACCATCGCATTGGAGGTTTAGATTTCAACACATGAACTTGGTGAAGGGGGACACAAGCATTCAGTCCATAACAATGATCCTTTATGTCAAGGCAGTTTGAAAGAGAATTTGGCAATTAGAATAACAGAGCACTAAGATTCCACTTTTATATTTGTACTTGAATATTGATTAAGCTTTATAATCTTAAGTGGAAGTCTCTGGAGGTTTATGTATAGATTGGAAATATTTTTTATTAAGGTATTATTGATATACAATCTTATGAAGGTTTCACATGAGCAACGTTGTGAATACTACATTCACCCATATTTTCAAGTCCTTACCACATACCCCATTACAGTCACTGTCCATCAGCTTAGTAAGATGCTGTAGAGTCACTACTTATCTTCTCTGTGCTATACTGCCTTCCCTGTGACCCCCTATATTATGTTTGCAAATCATAATAGCCCTTTATCCCCTTTCCCCTCCCTACCCTCTTTCCCTTTGGTAACCACTAGTGCCTACTTGGAGTCTGTGAGTCTGCTGCTGTTTTGTTCCTTCAGTTTTTACTTTGTTCTTATACTCCACAAATAAGTGAAATCATTTGGTACTTATCTCTCTCCTCTTGGCTTAGTTCACTGAGCATAATACCGTCTAGCTCCATCCATGTTGCTGCAAGAAGGATTTGTTTTCTTCTTACAGCTGAATAGTATTCCATTGTGTAAATGTACTACATATTCTTTATCCATTCATCTACTGATGGACACTTAGGTTGCTTCCATTTCTTGGCTATTGTAAATAATGCTGCAATAAACATAGGGGTGCATATATCTTTTTGAATCAGTGATCTTGTTTTCTTTGGGTAAATTCCTAGGAGTGGACTAACTGGGCCAAATGATATTTCTCTTTAGTGTTTTGAGAGACCTTCATTTGCTTTCCACAATGGCTGAACTAATTTACGTTCCCACCAGCAGTGTAGGAGGGTTCCCTTTTCTCCACATCCTTGCCAGCATTTGTTGTTCTTAGTCTTTTCAATGTTGGCCATCCTAACTGGTGTGAGGAGATATCTCATTGTGGTTTTAATTTGCATTTCCCTGATGACTAGCAATATAGAGCATCTTTTCATGTGCCTGTTGGCCATCTGAATTTCTTCTTTGGAGAAGTGTCTGTTCAGATCCTCTGCCCATTTTTTAATTGGGTTATTTGCTTTTTGTTTGTTGAGGCATGTGAGCTCAATATATTTTGTATGTTAACCCCTTGTCGGATATGTCATTTACAAATATATTCTCCCATACTGTAGGATGCCTTTTTGTTCTAGTGATGGTGTCCTTTGCTGTACAGAAGCTTTTTAGTTTGATATAGTCCCATTTGTTCAGTTTTTATTTTGTTTCCTTGCTCGAGGAGATGTGTTCATGAAAACTTGCTCATGTTTATATGCAAAAGATTTTTGTTTATGTTTTCTTCAAAGAGTTTTATGGTTTCATGATTTACATTCAGGTCTTTGATCCATTTCAAGTTTACCTTTGTTTGTATGGAATTAGACAGTTATCCAGTTTCATTCACTTACATGTAGCTGTCCAGTTTTGTCAACACCAGTTGTTGAAGACACTGTCATTTCCCCATTGTGTATCCATGGCTCCATTATTCTATATTAATTGGCCATATATGTGTGGGTTTATATCTGGGCTCTCTGTTCTGTTCCACTGATCTGTGGGTCTATTCTTATGCCAGTACCAAATTATTTTTATTACTGTGGCATTGTAGTAGAGCTTGAGATTGGGAAATGTAATTCCTCCCTGCTTTATTCTTCCTTCTCAGAAATTCTTTGGCTATTCGGGGACTTTTGTGGTTCCATATAAATTTTAGAACTATTTGTTCTAGTTTCTTGAAGAATGCTGTTGGTATTTTGATAGGGAGTGCATTGAATCTGTAGATTGCTTTAGGCAGGATGGCCATTTTGACAATATTAATTCTTCCTGTCAATGAGCATGGGATGTATTTCCATGTATTGGTGTCTTCTTTAAATTCTCTCATGAGTATCTTGTATTTTTCAGTGTATAGGTCTTTCACCTCCTTGATTAGGTTTATTCCTAGGTATTTTATTCTTTTTGATGGACCTGTAAATGGAATTGTTTTCCTGATTTCTCTTTCTGCTAGTTCATTGTTAGTATATAGTAATGCCTCCGATTTCTGTGTATTAATTTTGTATCCTGCAACTTTGCTGAATTTTTAGTTCAAGTAGTTTTGGAGTGAATTCTTTAGGTTTTTTATATACAAATTCATGTCATCTGCAAACAGTGACAGTTTGACTTCTCCCTTACCAATCTGGGTGCTTTTTATTTCTTTGTGTTGTCTGATTGATGTGGCTAGGACCTCCAGTACTATGTTGAATAGAAGTGGGGAGAGTGGGAATCCTTGTCTTGTTCCTGATCTTAGAGGAAAAGCTTTCAGCTTGTTGCTGTTAAGTGATGTTGGCTGTGGGTTTGTCATATGTGGCCTTTATTATGTTGAGGAACTTGCCCTCGATACCCATTTTGTTGAGAGTTTTTATCGTGAATGGATGTTGATTTTTTTCAAATGCTTTTTCTGCATCTGTGAGATGATCATGTTATTTTTGTCCTCCTTTTTGTTGATGTGGTGGATGATGGTGATGGATTTTCAAATATTGTACCATCCTTGCATCCCTGGAATAAATCCCACTTGATCATGATATGTGATCATTTTGATGTATTTTTGAATTTGGTTTGCTAATATTTTGTTGAGGATTTTTGCAGCTATGTTCATCAGGGATATTGGTCTTTAATTTCCTTCTTTTGTGGTGTCTTTGCCTGGTTTTGGTATTAGATTGATGCTGGCTTCATAGAATGAGTTTGGAAGTATTCCCTCCTCTTCTACTTTTTGGAAAACTTTAAGGACGATGGGTCTTAGGTCTTCTCTAAATGTTTGGTAAAATTCAGCGGTAAGCTATCAGGTCCAGGGATTTTGTTCTTATGTAGTTTTTTATTTACCAATTCAATTTCATTGCTGTTAATTGGTCTGTTCAGATTTTCTGTTTCTTCCTGGGTCAGTCT